TTGCTCCCCATATAGCAACCAAAGGCAAAAAGTCGACTGTTTCTCGTTTCGAACGGTACCGTCACTTGTCCTATTGGTCACATTTAGTTTTTTAAAATTCTAGTTACACTTCCTTTACCGTCTGTCGCCTGTCCGCCTGTCAGTCTAGTCTGCGCACTCTGAGCTGTCGCACCAGTTTCAAATCAGCCAACTCGTTGGTCCAAATCCAATGTACAATAATATTCGTTGCTCAAGATTAATTTTTTAGTTGTTTTTCTCAATATCTGAATTTTCCTAACTTTCAAACACCCAAAATGCAATTTCATCTTAAACACACCGCTAATCCCCCCTTCTTCTTTACTTTCTTCCGCCCGCTCTTTGCAGACATCAGTCAGTGTTTAGGCAGTAAACAGCCACCGACGACGACCAGTGAGCCGCCTCAGTTCTTAGCTCAGATCACTGCCCCACTTCTGCCAACTTCGACCCCTGTTGACCTGAGCGCCCCAACCTGCCTCCGAATTGCCCAGGAACTGCCGTCACCGATCAGCACCTCTTCTAGAATGGATGATGGTGCCGCCGCCTGGGATCTGAACGTCATCTCCGAGGAAGACTTTGACCAGCTGGCAGTGTACCAGGTGCAGGACAAGTCCACCGAGGAGATCGAAGCCGTCGTCAAGACTTCGCCCACTCTCAGTCGCGCCGAGGCCAGTCTGCCGCGTAATCTCATCCTCAAACCGTCGCGGGAAAAGCATACTGATGTAAGTAGTTTGAAAGCATTTTTTCAGTATAAAACATTTCTAGCAGTACTTTGCCGTTAAATAAACTGTAATTTGTCAAATTATTGAAAAAACAAAACATATTTCTAGTTTTTTCAATTGACATTTTTTTTGTAGATGTAAAACCAAAAACCGAAGTTATTTCCAAGCCCTAACCATTTCTTCCCCTTCTCTCTCAGGTTCTTGGTGTTTGGAGCACCGATTACATACCCCGAGGCACACGCTTTGGTCCCCTGGTTGGGCAAGTGTATGCCCGGGATGGCGTGCCGGAGGAGGCGTCGCGCAAGTACTTCTGGCGCATCTACACCGGCGCCGCCGAGTACCACTACGTGGACGGCGCCGACGCCGACAAGTCGAATTGGATGCGCTACGTCAACCCTGCCTACTCGGCGGGCACGCAGAATCTGGTCGCTTGTCAGGTGCGGGAAGCAATTTATTTCTACACTATTCGCCCGATTCGCCCCAACACGCAGCTCCTCGTCTGGTACTGTCGCGAGTTTGCCCACCGCCTCAACTACCCTCTCAGCGGACAGCTGATGCTCCAGCAGATTCGTAAGTGAATTCAGTTTGGTTTTTTGTTTGTGAAACACCATTTTTAACATTAAAATCCTTTCTTTTTTTAACAGAAGAACAAACCGCCACCTCGGTGCCGCTGTTCAACAATCGAAAGCGCGACAGCGAACAGTTTGAACGCAGTACCTCAGTGCTGCCCAAGAAACGCCTCAGTATGAAACGAAACAGTTCAACAGCAGTGGCGCACTTCACTGACGACGATGAGTCAGGGATGGACACGAAGGTGTACGTCGACAAGGCGTTAAATCACATACTGAAAGAGTTAAAGCAGAAGAATGAAAGTTCGGTTGCAGAAAAGGTTAAAAAGGAAGAGGAGGAGGAAGAGGAGGAAGATGATGCCAAAGAAGAGGATGTGGACGATTCGGCTGACTTTGTGCTCGATCTCAGCTCCTCAGTGCGCAGAAGGTCACAGGAAGGCGCAAAACCAAGTGAACTGGTAAATACTAAACAAAGCTTTTATCAACTTTTCAAAACCTAATCACAAATTTTTAACATTACAGCGTCGTCCATCCACGCAGATGTCATCGGGATCAGCGAGCAATCACTGCTTTGAGGGCAGCGCCACCGAAGCCTCCACAGCCGACTCGAGCAATGAGTTTCGCCGTGTGAAGATTAAGATGCCCAAAGCAATTCAGTCAACGGGAAAAGCCACCACCATTACCAGCAGCACCAGCAGTGCAAACTGCGGCAGCAGCAGCAGCAGCAAATGTACTCTGCCTGATGTGCACGGCGGCCACAGCGATGCCGCCGCCTACCTCGACAAGCGGTCCGACTACTCGCCCAAGTCCGCCGCCTCCTCTGACTCGGGTCTCTCCTCGGGCACGCCGTCGCCGGCCTCCACCGCCGTCAACGCCCACGGCGGTGGGGCAGTGCACAGCAGCAGTGCCCACAACAACAACAACAGCAATCACCCTCACCACCCTTCCCACCACCATCACCACCAGGGCATCCTCGAGAACCTCCTCAACATGCAGCGAATTCACGCGGAGCGAGTGGCCATTGCTGCTGCTGCGGCAGCCGCTGCCGCTGCTATGGCCAACAATGGCAACAATAGCAATGGCAACACTACCAAACAGTCGCCCATTCACCGGTCAGTGATCGTGGAGAACGTGATGCAGTCGCCCGACAAGGAGCTGGCGCTGGTCAAGTCGCCCACTACGCTGAGCACCGCCGCCCACCTGCTGTCCACCAGTCCGGTGAAGGCCTGCTCGGCGCCCTCGATGGAGCCTGGAGAGTGTGCAGAGGAGGTGGCCGGTGGAGCTGGAACAACCACAACCACCACCACCACCACTTCTGACAGTCCACAGGCGAAAAGTCCGGGCAAGTCAAAGTCGCAGCAGCAGCTAGCCAACAATGGCACCACTGCAACGCCGCACTACCCGACGCACTTTAAGAAGCACTTTGGACAGCGATTTGGCGCCAGCAATCAAACTGAAAGTTCGCCTTCCGCTTCTCAGCCGGCCTCCAGTGGCAATAATACTGCTTCCTCAAAGCAGAACAGCAGCACCTCTTCAGGTGGTGATCACTCACCGAACAGCAGTAAGGGCAACAGCAAGAGCGATCATAAGGACTCGGCTAAGAACGGCTCCTCATCAGCGATGGCCGCCGCCGGCACCACTGTGCTCAGTCCCTCCTACAACGGCGGTGGCAACTCTTCAAAGAATGGCACCGCCAACAACCCCAGCAACAACAGCTTTCTCTACGTCAACAACGGCATGACGCCGCTCTTCTCCACTGGCCACTTTGACATGTACGCCTATGCGGCCAATGCAATGAACGCCGGTGGCGCCCACCACCACCCGGGACAGACCTTTGTGCCGCACCTGGCCACTGCCGGCGCCGGCCACCTTCACCCCCACCACCCCCACCACCCTCATCACCCTCATCACCCTCACCACCAGAGTGAGCACCCAATGAACGGGTTCATGTCTGCAGCGGCTGCTGCTGCCGCCGCCGCCGCTGCCGCTGGAGGAGGAAAAACCGATGGCCCCAACGGCGTGCATGCGTTGTCACTGTCGCTGAGTCACCCTGCCTATCCGGGTCACCCCTCAGCCGCCGCCTACTCACTGGCAGGCAGCAGGGCTGGCAGAGATGGCGGCAGAGATGGCGCCGATGGTGGTCCTCATGATGGCGCCCACTTTGGCTCACACGGCATGACGGGAGGAGGGGCCGCCGCTGCGGGCACCTTCCACCACTCAAAGCTGGCCCTCGGCGTGGAGTACCCAAAAGCGGCTTCCGCTCACCACCACCCCCATCACCCTCATCACCCACATCACCCTCACCACGGCAGTCTTTCTTCTCATCACAATCAACAGCAGCAGCAGGGTCAGCACTCAGGGTCGGCAGCCCACCAGGGCTCACCACTGCTCTCTCCGACGCCGGCCAGTGGTGGCCAGCCGCAGTCGCTGCTTCACTCCAGTCATCCTTTGATGGGCGGACAGGCGCCCTACGCACACGGTCGCAGCTTTGTGGACCTGTCCTCTAACGGTAACAGTGGCTCACAGCAGCAGCAGCAGCAGCAGCAGTCTCAGCCTCAATCTCCCCGCAATGTACTGAAGAACTCGCTGTACAACACCAACTCACTGAATGGAGGTCGAAGCAGCGGTGGCGGACTGACACTGCCCTCTGCCTCCATCTCACCGCCTTCGCCCGCCTCCTCGGTGGCCTCCTCCGTCACTGACATGCTGCGCATCAACGTCGACCCTGAGCTGTGCTTCGGCAATGGCCACCACCACCACCACCAGCACTCGGAGAACGTCAGCCCGAACGGCAGCGCCACTTCGGGCACCTCTCGCGGTTACCGCTCCTTGCCGTATCCCCTGAAGAAGAAGGACGGGAAGATGCACTACGAGTGCAACGTTTGCATGAAGACCTTCGGCCAGCTGTCCAACCTGAAAGTGCACCTGCGCACCCACTCCGGCGAGCGGCCCTTCAAGTGCAACGTCTGCGATAAGAGCTTCACCCAGCTGGCCCACCTGCAGAAGCACCACCTGGTGCACACCGGGGAGAAGCCCCACCAGTGCGAGGTCTGCAAAAAGCGCTTCAGCTCCACCAGCAACCTCAAGACGCACCTGCGCCTGCACTCCGGCCAGAAACCGTACGCCTGCGACCTCTGTCCGGCCAAGTTCACCCAATTCGTCCACCTGAAGCTGCACAAGCGGCTGCACACCAACGAGCGCCCCTACACCTGTCAGACGTGCGGCAAGCGGTACATCTCCGCCTCGGGGCTGCGCACCCACTGGAAGACCACCAACTGCCAGCCGAATGCCGTCCAGAGCGACCTCATCGAGATGGAGCTGTCGAGGGCGGCGGCGGCGGCCGCCGTCAACGGACTGCCCAGCCTGCGCGGCTCAGACGACTACGTCGACGTCGATGACCTGGAGAATGACATCGACGACCTGGCGGACATTGAACACCAGCCCATCGACGACGAGCTGATGGCGCAGATTGAGGTGGGCGTGCGAACGGCCATTGTCGACCACCACGGTGGCGGGGGCGGGGGTGGCAAACATCACAACGGCGGCCACCACCACCACCACAGTCGTGGAGATAGACACAACCGTCGGCTGCGTGGCCTCTCTGGCGGCTCACTGGACGACTACGAGGACGATGAGGAAGAGGAAGAGGAGGAAGAGGAGGACGAAGATGATGAGTTCAACGAGTACGAGGTGGACAGCTTGGCGATGGAGATTAAGAACAACCCAGGGCTGAAAAGTGAGCTCATGTTTGGCCTGAAACAGAAACAGCAGGGAAAGCAGAAGGAGTACAAGTCGCCGAAGAAGTCCGCAGGTCTGTTGTTGCTGAACGGTGGCAAAGAGGACCACCGGGTCGCCGCCCTCCCCTCTGGCGACAACAACAACAACAATGAAAAGGAGGAGGTCGCCAAGGTGGTGAAGGAGATGATGGCCGAGGAGATGATCATGCCAAAGAAAGCCTTCGTGCTGAAGTACGAAAGCGAGGAGGCGGAAGAGGAGCTGCGCAACATCAAGAAGGAGAAGGAGAAGGCGGCGGCCATTGCCGCAGCAGTTGCCGTTGCCGATGCCGTCAAGCAGGAGGAGGAGGAGGCGGCGGAGAGTAAGCAGAGTAAGCGAGCCTCGCCTTCTAGCCTTCGAGAGGACCAGTTCAGTCGCGTCTTCAGCCCTCGACCGGGCGCCACCGGGAACTGCGGCAGCTCTGCGAGCGCCAACCCGGCGGGCAGCGCCAGCGCCTGGCTCAACTCGGCGGCCGCCATCACCGCCAACTTCAACGGCAGCTCACTCTCCGGACCTCACGGACCTTCCTCCGCCAAGCACCTCACCATTCTCAATCACGCCTAATTGACTAACGGGGTAATTAATACTACTTCTACCTTACTGTACACTGTGGATCTCTCTCTTCTTTTATTTCTCAAATGCCCACACACTGCCCTGCACATTCACACACACACACTGACCGACACTACATTTGCAGTATTGTCTAGATCACAACTTCACTGAATACATTCCATTTCATTTCATCATCATCATCATCATCTCATCAGCATTCGAGCACCCATGTACAAAGCGGCACCCCTTCACTACTACTACTTCCACTGCACTTCTACAGCATTGCCAGTGGTCGCCGCCCACACAGTTCACTGACCACATTCCGAATTACCGACTTTCACTGGAAAGCACACTCTCAGCAGCTAGACATTATCCTCTCTTTACACTCCCCTATCTCCCTTTTTCCCCTTTCTCACATTTGTTCTAACTGAACCAAGCACACCCAACTGCCACATCCTTAATGGCTTTATGTCCACTTTCTTTCTCTCTCTTTTTCTCTTTCTCAAATGGGAAGCCAAGGTCACTTACATTCTACCACTTTATCTTCATTCCCCGTCATTCTCATTTAGCAAGCATTTTTATTTTAATGCCCAATTAGTTGTCCCTTTCATAGATATATTTACCTATTTATCGCTTTATTTATTTGTTCACAACTTTTCCTCTCAATTCTTTTTTTTTGTTCTTCTTCTTTTTACAATGTTTCAAGTACTCTCTTTTTCCCTCTTGAATCTATTCACTATTGACTTTTACTGATCATTTATTGATTGTTGACTATATGTATTACACACACAAGAATACTGAATATAACTTAAAACAAACAAACACATGCAAAACAAAATAATGGGTTTTACTGGTGATACTCAAATTGTGAAAACACACACAATTATACACACAAGTAAAAGGTTTTTGAAGTTTGGTTTTTTCAATGATTTCAGTATTTTGATTGTCAAACAAAATTTTTTTACAATTTTCTACAAATAACTGGCAAAATTGTAATGTTTTTAGTTAACCATAATTTAAGATTTTATGGTAGAACTTAAAATACTTTAAAAATTACAAAAATAAGTTTTGTCATTGTTTGATAATTGTAATTGAGATTTTTTTACGTTTGAAGCATAAAAAACAAACTTTTTGTTGTGAATTACCCATAACTTTAAGCCGTAAATAATTTTAATAATTTTGCCGCAATTTTTAAAAACAAAATTTTTAACAATATAGAAAATAACACAAAAAAGTTTTGATTTTTGCAAAAATAAAATATTTATAAATTGTAAATACGTACTAAAAGTAAAAAATGTAATATCGATAAGTGTTCAAAAATATCTTAAATACCATATCTTAAAGCATAGCAACACTTTCACACAGTAATCTTTACTAAATATTGTTTAACAAAAAAAACATGTTGCAAAACTTTAAAAAGTTTAAAAAATTTTGTTTATAACAATGGTTTGCAAAAAAATAAATTTGTAGTAATTGGCAAAAACTAATAAAACAAATTTTGACAAATATTTTGTATTGCATTTTTAAATTTTAAATTTTAATTTGATGATTTCTGCGTCAAAAACACTCAAAATTTATAATTTAGTTAAAAATGCTACCGGTAGAAGGAACTACTGTCAGCAGAGACGATTGTGCAAAATTGTGCAGCTGCTTGAAAAAAATATCATAGAAAATAGTCATGTCCCCAGCACTTAACTAATTGGGCAGCCTGGCCCTAAACGCCACTGCACGGCAGTGAAAGAGCTGCTACAGACTGTGGGCTGCAGTGCACGCCGCTGTTCGAAAAGAATGCCAGCACTACCATTGGCTTGCAAATGGTACTTTCCATGCTTTTGTCACTGAACAACAGATGGGGCGCAGACTGCATCACTAGTAACACACCGACGAACAATGACAGATTTGCAAAAGTTCGATTGCTGCCAAGAACACTTTGTGTGTTCACAAAGTTTTTCTAAACTGGATGCACAAATGGAAATATCATTTTGCTATGCAGTAGCAGAAGTACAATTTGTTCCACTCTGTCTGGCGGCATTTGATAAAGAAATATTGCTTCAAGTATTTGTTTTGCTGCATAGCAAATTAAACCATTTAAGATGCTTCACTGAACCTGCTAAAAACCCTTCCATAAAATGTTTGCTCAAAACTTATTTATCAAACTGCAAATCTGCAAAAACAAAAAATGTTTTTTGTAATTTTCAGTTTTAAAATTGTTTTGAGTTTGTTAAATTCTTGAAATAATTTAGAGATGCATACCTAAAACTATTTTTTAAAATGCAATTGATACTAATCGTTTGCCGTCATTTTGCATGCAGTCAGTAACTAATGGTTAGAATATACGTTCATTTAAGTCAAACGCACTTGTGTGTGCCTTTTCGTTGTAGCCGTCTATTTGCATGGCAAAATGTTTTCACTCAATGTACGTGTTTAGTGAAACAAACTTTTTATGCACACACTTAAAGCTGTTGTCTATTTTGTATGCAGTTGCTACCACTTTCTCAGACATTAAAACTAAAAAAGTTATGCGCTTCTAGTAATAAAAAAGCCCCCTTTTTATTGCTTCTGACTAAAAAGTTGACATTAGCAACAAAAAGGTACTCTCTTTAGGTTTCTGCACCTCTGAGCCACTCTTGTCACCCTTGTCTGTCTGAAGACGGCCTTTTCAGAGAGAGAGAGAGAGAGAGAGAGAGAGAGAGAGAGAGAGAGAGAGAGAGAGAAAAGTGAGATTCCGAAGAAGGGTGTTTAAGAGTGGTCAGGCTCCGATAGGTAGGTGTCCCTGACAGTGGGGCCCGTCACATTGCGCCGAAGTTCGCCTTCGAAGTGCTTCAGCCGGCGGAGACCGCTTTATCAGCAAAAGTATTATAACCAGTCTTTCTAGTTAGTGCACTGTCACTTTGCCTAGCACTGTAATGGCTCGCTGCGACGACTATGCATTTGCCATGCTGCTGCTGCTATGTCTGCCGTTGGTGCCTGTTTTCCTGAACGTCCTTTCCAGTCTGTCTATCTTTTCCTCTCTCTCTCTCTCCCTCGGCCGCTGCCTCTCTCGTTCTCTGACTAACTCTCGAGCCGCTCTGACAATCTTCCTTTCCTTTCCTTTCCTCCCCCTCTCTCGTCCTTTCCCCTCCTTCTCCTTCTCCACCGCTTTTCTCCGCTGTTCCCTCTGTGCCACTCTGTGTCTCTATTACTGTCTTTCTCGCGCTGTCTTTTTCTGTCTCGCTGCTTCGTTCTCACTCAGTGACGGAGTGCTCATCGCCAT